TATCAGATTGGTCTTTTTACTGTTTTAAAATATGGCGCAATCGTTTCTGCGAAAAAAAATCACAGCAAAGAAAATGCACGTCAAACTTGTTCAAAGGCAGAGCCTACTCTCTAGCGGCGTAGATCCCAATGACACAGGCTTGTTGGTCATCTCAGTACAACAACTTTGTCGAAGACAGTATAGCTCTATATATTGTAACAAATGTGATAACCCACCACAACCCCTATTAATGAAAATCCCATAAGCTGTGGGTATCCTTATTCGCGGTTCCTTATTCACGCCCCTGTTACCCCGGCAATAAGGATTCCTGACTGTATTCGATTTTTTTTTTCACAGTTGTAATTCTTCAATTTATCGCAAGGATCCGACTCTAATTGAAAGGTCCCGCTATTTATACCCTTCGGAGTGTTGAAACACCCGTCCAAGGCGATCCACTTTGTCAGTCAAAATTGGATTCCTTAGCAACAAAATTAAGAAATGACACCGATAATGACCGTGCATCAGAATCCTAGTCTGAATCACTTCAAACTAAGGAACAACGAATAGAAGATTAGGAATCACATATATGAAGACTAACTAACTCATTTTTCCTTGTTTCAAGATCATCCTCGGTGGACAAAGCCGAGTCTTGTCACTATCAACAAGGCATAAAAAGTAACAAGGACTAAGATGTGTTCCTTGGATTACTGAAAAAATCCTGTTCCCCTAGTTTGAAGTAGTCAGGACTAGGAATCGGTGGTAGATCTTACATCCCCTAACCATAAGATTATAAGGACTGCAAATTACAAAAGATTTAGCTTTAGGTTTTAGTTTTAAGATGTCTACACTTAGATATATAAAATAATAATTAAGGCTCGTACGTTACTGTAGTAGCTGGAACCTAGGTTTAAATTAAATGTTATTTGTTTTGAATTTAGAACAAATAAAGAGTTAAAAAAAAATCACAACAATGCGCACCCCTATTGATCAATTGGGTTGTTTTTTTAGGTGTACTGAGGTAAATAAATATTCAAAATCTGCATTACAAATGGAACCGAAATCAAAAATTTCATCAATTTTGGTGCTCTGGAACTATTTTAAATATTTACGATTACATTAGCAAAAATCATCATCTTAGCGCCTTTCGGAGTGACTTTGTATGGGAGCGAGCTGTCAACTAAAATATTTAGTTAAAAGAAAAATTAAAAATTTAAATCTTGATTTAAAAATCGTGATGAATGTCTATGGGATTGATAAGAATATCGTTGTGCTCAGAAAAAAAAGTTCTTTCAGATGAGTCAAAGTTTTTGGGAAGATCCCAGGCATCAGATCTTCTCGCTGCGTTTATGGAAGCCCTTGCCGGTATCCCTTGGAACTAGTTGCTGCAAATGTCCATGGATGGGCCCAAAAAGGTGGCGAGAAGCTGATAGATCTGTGCTGTGCTGTGGGCTGCATATTTTGCATAATACATTCAAGGATAGTGTTCGCAGTATCAGTTGGGATGTTGTCAAATATTTGCGTGGTATCTACAATATCTTCAAAGATGTACCAGCAAGACGAGCGTTTAACACGATGTATTCCGGATCTACCATATTCCCGTTAAAGTTTTGTGGCCACCGATGGCTGGATAATAGTGGTGCTGTTCAGAGGGCAACCGAAATGATTCCGCAAATACGAAAATTTATTCAAGGCGTCCAGAAAGACAAAATCGAATGCAGAGAGAGGTTTTTCAGTAAATGCAGAATGTCTTTTTGAAAACATAAGGGAAGAGTCAGTCGTAGCGCGACGTCAGATCTATGATGGTGTTACTCATGCAGGCGGGCTGGAAAACCTACAAAAATTGAATGAACTTATTCAGCGAGTTCGAAATTCGTATGCGCTTTCCATGTAGTCAAGAATCGTCGTATGAAAGAAGCTCTCGATTCCGACAAAGCGAAATTGTTGAAACGCCAGAGAGAAGCAGAAGCGAAACATCTAGAGAATAATAGCATAGATGTAACTCTAAGACTAGAAGGTCCCGAAATAACGTGCTCAACTTTTTGGCTCAGCTCTGGTACTCTCTTCGGTCCCAAGCTAATCGATTCACCCCGCGAAACATAGGAAAAACCAATAACCCCTCATTTTATCTGTCAAACTTTCATAGCGAATCAAAACAAACATTGCGTAGTACTAGAATTTCGACTAGAATAGGGTACGTTAATCGTTTGCTTGGGACCAATAGGCTACTTAAGTGGTGAGCCAATTTAAAATCGTTAGTTTCGTATTGATTGTTGATAATGCCTTGTTCAGACTACAGAGTTATAACATGTTATAACGGTTGTCAAATAATTGCAACACAGAAACCACCATCAAGATAGCGCTATAACATGTTATAACTCTGTAGTCTGAACGTACTATAATAGTACGTTCAGACTACATAGTTATAACATGTTATAGCGTTATCTTGATGGTGGTTTCTGTGTTGCAATTATTTGACAACCGTTATAACATGTTATAACTCTGCAGTCTGGACAGCGTTTAAGTGAAGAAAGTTATTGGAAGATGCTCAAAAAGAAGCCGAGAGTTTGAAGGAGAAAATTGTTCTGCTCAAATCACAAGCAGAAAAATCGATCGTCAAAACAAACATATTTGAGGTAAATTTAAACGTTTGTTTGTTCTGGCCACTAATTGCAAACGTATTCCATTTTTGAAGTCAATACAATCTATGTTTAAAATAAAAATAATGTTACGTTTATTTAAAAAATATTCCAGCCTCAAATAAATGAGAAAAAATTTTGTTGTCAAAGTGAACAAGCATAAATTTGTTAATTTTAAATATGTTTTTCATTTTTAAAACAAACAAACTATTTTTAAACTATTTTAGTATTTGAAAGCGCGAAAAAAAAACAGAAAATGGATAGCATATAAATAGAAGGAAAGTCTGCAGACATGACATGTAAATTCCCACTATTTTCGGGGTCGATAAAGGGTGGTCTGTGGATGGGGTGGATGGTGGTGTTCTAGTCCGGGTTCCAAAAGGCCTGTAGGGGTGAGTTTTCGGGGGTTCCAATTCAGTGGAATGTGTTGTTTCTGACATTGGTCCTCTTTCTACGTTTGCTGTCGGGAGAAGGGAGAGGATCCGGAATAGATTCAGCACCCATTTCGAATTGTCGTTTTTCTTTCGACGTCTTAGGAAAGGGTGTTATGGGGATCGGAACTGGAACATCATTTGGACACTTACCTAGATGGGTTTTCGGATCCTTTTATTCGGATTCACGTCCATTTACTCGGTTTCACACTTTCCGAGGAATAGCTTGAGTCAATTTCTGCCGAATGTAAACAAGGCAGGACACGCTAAAAATCGTTTACCCAAATTCTATATTGTTTGAATTTAATATAAAAATAAATATTTTTTTTTCAAACATGTTTCAAATTTACTTTAAATTACTCATATGTTTATATAATAAACATTAATATTTTTGATTTAAATTAACAACATTTGGTTCCGTGATCGTCGCAAAAACCACAGATGAGTTTTCAGGCTAAAAAATTAATAAATTAATATTTTGGCGTTATTTATTGTTATTATTATTGTTTGCGCATAAGGAGTTGGAAAACTAACAAAACATGCATAACCATGGTATCAATTTTCGTTTGAGTGTTTTTTTTTATGAGCTAAAGTTGAAATGATTTTCGACGTTGTGAGTGTGAGTGCGTGAATACTGATGCAAAATTTGAAATTTTCGCTCCAATGTGCTCAAACGGATTAAAACTGGGCCCTGTTTAGCCTCCCAAAATTTGAACTCATTTAGTGAGAAACTGAGTTGGCACAAACCATTTGAAGTTTATATGGGAATTACTATGGAGAAAACATAATTTTGGTTCATATCTATCTCAAAATTCATCAGTTTACTCTACTTTAGAAAATGATATCTGAACTTGTTGAAAATTTTTTCAGCTACAACTTTGTTCAAGACCAGTTTTCGATCAAATGTAAGGAACAAAAGTTATTAATGATTCAAATCACTGATGTCTTATGATTATGCTCAATCATCTGTTCAGCAGGCAACATTGGTGTTTATGGCGCGTAGAATAGAGGACAAAAATCATGACTACTATGTCACACTGCAGAATACAGTGTTGCTCACAATACAGTTGCTTGCCAAAAGATTATCAATCTCTTTACAATTAATAACTATTTAATTTGACGTTTGGCTGAAAAACGATTTTCTGCAAAGTTGTAGCTGCTAAAAATTCCCATAAGAATAGCAATAGAATTTGTTAGCAGTACAATATGTAAAAAGGCTAAAAGACAATGAACAAACAGTTTTGGTTACCCATAGTAATTTCCATATAAACTTCAAATGGTTTGTGCCAAGTCAGTTTCTTATCAAATGGGTTTAAACTTTCGGAGGCTAATCAGGACCCGATTTGAAACCGTTTGAAAACTGTGGAGCGAAAATTTCAAATTTTGCATCAGTCTAGTGAATATGCATGAGAATCTCAAGCGTAAATTTTGTTTGCCACATTCGCACGCGAGTTTATTCTCGCAAGGACACTCAATCAATGAGATTTGAGAATGATTTTCCGAACACTGGTAAAGAGAAAGGATCGTCTACGGGTTGATTTTTATTTAGTTGTGAAATTATGAAACCAAATTGAGAGCTTGGTGACATTGATTAAATATTCCTATTATTACTTAGTAATGAATAGTGAGCCTAGTTGTGAGCAGTTGTTATTCATTATTATAGGGTTATAAAGCTTATTCACACCCTTTGTAGGTAGTCGGTCATATGTTCTGTAAAAATTGTATTAGTATCAAGTTCTGTTGTGCGTGCCATGAGTATGCTATTCTTGATATTTTCGAAAGCTTACTCTGCTGCTCATTTTAAACTAACCATAATTTGCACTACGGTATAATAAAGCACATCACGTTGTAGCTTCTTAGGTTTAAATATTGGAGTTTTGTGGACTGGAATTTTTCTGAAAACCCACTGGAAAGTCAGGGAAAGTCAGGGAATTTTTTTTTTTCGACTTTGAGTCGACACCCTGTTGAACTAAATGGTACAACATTGTTTGATCGTTTCTTCACATTTATTTAAAATCATTAGCAATGCACAGCGATTGCCCAATTGCAAACAAATGTTGTCTCATCAAAGTACAAACCCGGAGGACATACAAATTCAAACCGCGTGGTTCTATCACAGTAGTAAAATTTCGTACAATCCTTTGGATCGCGGAAATAACCCGTTGAGACGCATTGGAATTCGTCAGAGACGGTGGTAGTACTTTGTTGAGTCGTCGTTGAAGAGCCCTCTGGCGTTACTGTAGTTTGTGCGGTACTTGATGACCATGTTGACCATGTGCTGCTTGTTGCAGTTGTCGATGAGCTACTCGAGCTTATAGTTGTGGTTGTAATTACTCCATTGTTCTGTAATCTACTGTTTAGTGTGTTTAGTAGAGTAAACTTTTCACCACAAGTGCCATGAAAATCATCTGTTTCAACAGACCATACCATTCCGCCTCCAAGTCCGTTTTCATAGATGAAATCACACTGCAATGAAAATTCGTGTTAGAACTTAACACATTAATTGATTCTAATCGAAAGTTACCTTCTGGGATAGACTTTCTTCGTTGTCGTAGCCAACCCATTGATTTCCACCGTACGCAAAAGGCACCTTTTGGTGAGCATCCCAACACTGATTCCATTTTTCAACGGTAAGCTTTTCACATATCTGCAAAACAGGAAGATGCTCATTTATCCCAATTTCTAACTTCAATCAATCGTCTGTCACCTCATTATATCCGAGAAACCCCGATTCATAGGTATATGGGCCTCCTTGGCCCGGTCCATTTGTTGGGGCTCCAACATCATGTTCCCCAGCCGATCGCAATGTGAACGATCGGCCGTAAAATGCAACACCTAAATTAAGTTTCGCTGGTGGAGCGCCATGCTGCAACCAGTAATTAACACTACTGTTCACGTTCAACTGCTGTTGAGTAGGCGTGACGTCGTGAGGACCTACATAAAGTGGCGCGTTGTGACCTGTTTTAGATTCCCACGGACCATGCAGGTCATATGTCATCAAATTTATGAAATCCAGATATTTGGATATTTCCGGAATGTTGTAAGAAATCGAGGCCGAACTCTCGGCAGCTGCTACAGCGGCAGTCAGCAAAAGTCCACGTTTTGAAAATTCTACCTTCAGATCGGATAAAAGCGACACAAAATTTTCACGATCAACTGAGGGATCTCCATCACGCTGCCCGGGATATTCCCAGTCTACATCCAAGCCATCAAATCCCTGATTCGTACAGAATGCAGCAGCGTCTTTTGCAAACCTAGCTCTGAGGATTGCATTCTGAGCAACAGTGGAAAATTTCTGAGACCCTTCATTCCACCCCCCAACGGCTACCAATGTTTTCAGGCTGGGGTTGACTGTTTTCAAATCATTGAATTTCCTCATTGTTCCAAGGCCCCAGTTGTCTTCCAAGTCCAGCCAAGGGTCCAGAATTCTGATTGTTCCATTTGTACTGATGCCAACGAACGCATATATTAGATGCGTGCATAGAAAGGGGTCGATATTTTCCACTGAGAATTTTCCCGCTCCATTTCGGTAGGTGGCCCACGTACCGTAGTAGCAAACAATATTTTCTTTAGGAATCGTAGAGAAAAGGCGTTTTGTTTACGCTTTGAAAACAGATAAATGCATTTTTACTCACTGGCCGCGACTATCGTTGGAAACACAAGTGTCGCCAATAGTAATCCTATTATTTTTACTGATACCATTCTGGAGTGGGGCACTTGTGCAAACCTTGTACGAATTTCGATTTACTTGAAAACAATCTTTTTGTAGTGGAATCTTGTATCGGACTGAAGGTACGAATCATGCTTCCTGCATTTATATGAAGTACCTGTAGAATCGGTAATCGGGATAATTCGTTTCTTCCGAAACATCAAGTGCATCCAAGATTTAATCGGGTGATGTAGTACACCTTACGCCACTATACTCGGCACTGTGTCAATAGTGCGATGAAGTACCTGGGTGGATGAAATCAATGCACAGTGGGGATATAAACGCACAAATGTCTCCAAATTCACGAACTCCTGTTCCCGCTGAAGAAACTTGATCAAAACCGTTGTTATGTTAGGAAAAACATCTTAGGCATCGAATGGAATAGGTTTCATCTTCTGCAGTATAGGGAAAGTTGATGTTTAGGTGACTTTTGAGCTAAAAACCATATTTTTCAAAAACATAACTCTAAAAACTTTTGATTATGAGCAGGGGAAATGGATGTAATGTCGGCCTAAATGCCCCTAATTTGGGCCCATACATAAATTCAGAAATCGATTAAATTTTCAATAGCAACCAAAAATATCCATTAGTGCCGTCCCAATGACGCGTTCATCTAGATAAAATTGATAAATAGCAGATTTTTAGCGATGGGTACAATGTTAGATCCATAGATCAACATTAGAGCCATTTCCCCTATGAAACTAATCCTAAATCGGATCTTCTCCGTGAATTTACGAGGATTTTCCATATGACTGATTTTATTTTATATGATTGATTTTATGCTCCACTTAAAATAAAAATTAGTTTTTACAGCTAAAATCCTACTTTTTGAATTTATGAAATTATTAAGATATTATAATTCCGTGGACTCCCTCTAATCTGAACGACACTTTATTCTTATTAACGGGGTTCATTTTTAATTTCTAGTAACCCTATGACCCTATGAAAAGCGTGTTTCTGGTTGCTGTTTTATTTTGATTCTGCGTTCCGTATAGCAATTGACGAGTGCACGGATGGATTTGAGTTCACTCACTCGACCAAAAGTGACACAACAGCGGGGCCCTGTTTACTAAAAATGAACACACGAATAATACTCACGTAACATTTGAAACGGGTCTATCAACTTATGTACACACAACTTGTTAAGCCTTTTTCGCGTGAACCGAATACGCTCACGTAAACTACCAATACCATCGGACAAAGGAAATTCTCCCCTTCCCCATAGTGCTCTTGGTTTGCGTGGGCGTACTTCGGTTCTCGTGAAAAGGACCTAGCAAATTATTTACCAAAGTTGATAGGCCTTTTTCAAATGTTACGCGAGTTTTATTCATGTGTTCATTTTTAGTAAACAGGGCCCCGCTGTTGTGTCACTTTTTGTCGAGTGAGTGAACTCAAATCCATCCGTGCACTCGTCAATGTTGCATTTTGCTTTACACCGTTCCGCACACTGTACCAAACTACCGTCCTCTGTTCGAATGAAACCTCAGACCATTCAAATCGAAACATCGAAATCGCCTTTTCGAATGACAGCTGCAACCGGATGACGATTGTTTTGAAATCAGATGATTTTCCTCTCGAATACAGGATGAACATTGTTATGAATTGGATAGGGCCTTCAGTTGGAATGCGTAATGCTCTCTGCATAGTGATAGATATCTTAAAATATAATCTTAATAACATTGGTAAAGCGTGGAAACCGTACATTGTCTATTTCGTGGTTGTTCGGATCGACTTCTAACTATTTTTTCTATCTCTTTCTCACCTGTCACTTCTACTTCACCTGTCACCTTGTCACGCCTCATCGGCCAAACCGCTTCTCGCCTCATCGGCCGATCGCGAGGCGGAACGGTCCGTGTTGCCAGAACATTCCCCGGCCCGTAACTCTGTCCGAGGGGTCACGTCCGGCTCAGGGTTACCCTCAACCAACTCCATCACGGCCAGTTTCGCTGTCGCTCGCTTGTATCGTCCGGTGCTGGTACGCACCCACGCTTGACGGATCCTACCGTCACCGAATACGATGGGCTCTTCCACCACTCCGCGGATCCAACACTTTCTATTTGCTCCCTCCACGACGTACACCAGGTCTCCTGCTCGCAATGGTCGTGTCTCACCGAACCACTTCGTCCTCTGGTTCAACGACGGCACGTACTCCTTAATCCACCGCTCCCACATCACGCTGGCCAATTGCTGCGAACGCTGGAACGCATCTCGAAGGGCCACGGCAGGATGGGGAGGTGGAAGAGTGCCACTTGGTTGGTTTGGTGACGCTCCCCTCAAGAAGTGATTTGGGGTGAGCGCTTCTACTTTGTTGGACTGCTGCGACACGTAGGTGAGCGGACGGGAATTGATGATGTCCTCCGCTTCAACGATTGCTGTCTGCAAGATCTCGTCCGTTAGTCGCCTTCCATCGTTGAGTGCTGTCAGCGCTTCCTTCACAGAGCGGACCAGGCGCTCCCAAACACCTCCCATGTGGGGTGCAGCGGGAGGATTAAACGTCCACTTCGTTCTCGCGTTTGTTAACTGGTCTGCACAGTCGTCTGTAATGCCGTGCACAGCCTCCACCACTTCTTTACTGGCTCCTCGCAAGTTCGTCCCGTTGTCCGAAAAGAATTCAATCGGCCAGCCCCGGCGACCCATAAATCGGTATATCGCCATCAAACACGACTGAGTGGTCAGCCCGTGTGCCACCTCCAAATGCACGGCACGTGTTACCATGCACGTAAACAGCGCAATCCACCTCTTCTCCGTTCTGCGTCCTATGGTCACATCAAATGGTCCCAAGTAATCGATACCGACGTAGCTAAAGGCTCGAAGATTCGGTGTGACTCGCTGTACTGGCAGCGAGGCCATCCTTGGAACTTCAGGACGACACCGATTCACCTTACACCACACGCAGGACGCTGACACCTTCCGGACAACTGCATCTATGTGTGGAATATAGTACAGCTGCCTCAGTTCGTTCTTCACCGCCTGGCGGTACCCGTGGCCACTTTTCTCGTGGTAGTGCTGGACTATCAATCTCGTAATCCGATGGTCATTCGGCAGAATCGCTGGAAATCGCAGATCAAACGGTAAAAATTCTGCTCGTTCCACACGACCCTCCATTCGAATCAGTCCATCTTCATCGACCATGGGAGTCAGCCTATACAGAGGACTTGACTTCTCGATTGGCAGCCACTGATTCACCGAACGCTCCTTGTTTCTCGACAGCACCTTCAATTCATCGATGAAACTCTCCGACTGCGCCGATTTTAGGAGGCACCGCTCTGCTTGTTCGTATTCGTTCTGCTGTAACGGTATGCGAATACTCGCCATCGTGGTTGACTTTTGCACCTTCATCTGCTCGCTCGTCGCCCGCAATGTCTCGATAGGCAGCCCTTTGAACTTTCGCCTGCAGTTCGACACGAAACGAAATACACACGCCATCGTCCGAACCAACACCGTCCACTTCGAGAAGCGGACTGCATCTACCAAATTCGCTGACACCTTCACATCGTGCAGTAGGAGATGAACCCGGAGTTCCTCCGTCGTGTTCGCCGGCGGTAGATTCTTCTTCGGCCACTCTTCCTCACGGCTGTACAGAAACTGCGGTCCTTTTATCCACGAGCTGTTCGGATGTATTTCCGGATCCTTGCCCCACTTCGTTAGCTGGTCTGCCACGTTCAATCTCGTCGGTACCCACCGCCAGTCTGCAATCCTCGTCGAACTCAGGATCTCTCCGATACGGAAACCGACAAACTGCTTGTAGCGGCGCTGATCGGATCGAATCCACGATAGCACCACCTCCGCATCTACCCAGAAGACCACTCGACTAATGGAGAAGGTATGGTTTTCGCGCACTGTCTGTGATAGTCGTACACCGAGTACCGCTGCCATAAGCTCCAAACGCGGAATCGACAGCTGTTTCAATGGTGTTACCTTCGCTCGACTCATCACCATGGCGCACATCACATCTCCTCGTACAACGGCTCGGAAAAACGCCACGCATCCGTAGGCCGTCTCGCTCGCATCCGCAAAGATATGCAGCTGCACGTCATCGATCTCATCTGATCGCGCACTGCCGAAGTAGCTGCGTGGTAGTTTGAAGGCTTGAGTGTCCATCAGGATGTTCGTCCACCGTTTCCACTTCTTGAACGATGCGTCGTCCACGATGTCATCCCACTGGCAACCAATCCGCCACAGGTCTTGTACTAACATTTTTCCCAGAATGGTGACTGGTGCGAGGAAACCCACCGGATCAAACTGCGCCATCACGATACTGAGTACTATTCGCTTCGTCGGACGTTCTTCTCCTCGGAGGACTTTCAGCTGCTCTAATTTCGAATCTTTTGCGAAACAGAAGACGTCTTCGATCATATTCCACACGATCCCCAGTACACGCTCGTATTCCGTGTCTTTATCCCGGGTCAAGTGAATTGCTGCGTTTGCGGTGCGCTCCCCAAGCTCCTCTAGAAACTTCTCCGAGTTCGACATCCAGTTACGTATGTGGAATCCTCCTTTCAAGTGAATGTGTTTCACCTCCTTGGCTCTTTGGATCGCTTCCTCGACGGTGTCCACACTGTCGTAGTAATCGTCCACATAGTGCTTCTTTATAATCGCTGCTGCTGCCTCAGGGAATTCTTCCGCAAATTGTTCCGCGTTCAGATTCTTTACAAATTGCGCTGAAGCAGGCGAGCACGTAGCGCCAAAAGTGGCCACGTCCATCACGTACACTTGCGGTGCCCCTGTTGGGTCTGTTCCGAACAAAAATCGGAGCGCTTGCTTGTCCTCAGCTCGGATTTTCATTTGGTGATACATTTCTTGGATGTCTCCTCCAAATGCAACCGGACCCTCCCGAAAGCAGCTGACAACTTTCGGAAGAGGAACTAACATATCCGGCCCCTTCAACAACTGCGAGTTCAACGAGACTCCTCCAACCGATGCTGCAGCGTCCCACACCAGGCGAACCTTTTCAGGTTTCTTTGGGTTTCGCACCACATTTACTGGCAGATACCAAACCGCCGAGCTTGGTGTTTCAAGTTCTGCTACGCTGATCTTATGTGCGTATCCCTTGAGCTGATAGTCCTT